AAACCAAATTCACACCCTTGGTAAGTTTTTGTTGATTTCTTCACTATCTCTGGCTGAGTAAAAAGAGCAGTATCACCAGCATCGATCGCTAAAGTTCTTGTATTTACGGCATAAAAGCCTTCTGCCCAAAGTGTTCAATAACATGTTCCAACATGCTGGTAACATTCGTGGCTACAACACAAGATATGCAGCCAAATTACATTATCTTTTCAAGCCTAAAGTGTGAACTAATGGGGGAAAACAATAAATTTCTTCATGGCAATCGATATTTGAATGATTTTCCACGCTATTTCAAAGACTTAAGTGTAATTTCATTTCTGAAGCAAGTCAAACGTTATCTACTGTTAGAATAAGAAGAAAGTTTGACATCTGATCAGAGCCCTACTTACATTGTTTCCTGCATTTTTCAACCCAAATTTAAATCAGAATCTTTATATTTATTCTTTTTCCAACTCCTTTTTAGGCGGTTAGGAACTCTAGGACTATATTTTGTCAAAAAATTTTCATTTTTTCTGGAAGGGACAGCGGGAATTAAATTGCTCTTCAGTCCCTCACTTCTCTCTCCCGCCTTCATCTCTTGCTTCCTACTCCCCCTCCCCTCCCCTTCCAAAACACTCAGTTGATTGATGATATTGAAATTTTCCATTCATCTTCCGCATTTCACTTCGGTAAAATATCCGCATCTCGCCTTTGCCTCCTCCGTTTCTCGTTATTTCCCTAACTCTCGAAGCTTGGTACAGCCCCTCTCACTAAGCTGGCTGAGATGGCCTGGGTACCCAAAATTTGTTACTTCCGCTATCGTTTTCCTAATCTGGTGATTGTCGTGATCCACGCTCACAAACTTAGGAAGTAGGTCTAATTTTTTCTAGAATGGAAGATCTGCCACCAATCTCTGTCATTGAAAATGATACTTTTTGTGTTGAAATGATGAAACGGCTCAACATACAACGAAAACAAGGTCACCTATGCGATTTAACTTTGGTGACAAAAGATGACGAAGAACTGAAGGCTCATAGCAATGTTCTATCCGCTGCAAGCCCGTTCTTTAACAAGCTTCTTCTCAGCGACATGAAGGAGAAGCGCGAAGGAATTGTTCGGTTTGAGGAGATTTCAGGATCTGTTATGGAAGATGTTTTGGAATTTGTCTACACTGGAACTGTGGGAGTAACTCAGGAGAATGCCAAGGAATTAATCGCCGCAGGAAATTATCTGATCATACCGAGCTTGAAAACTGTTTCAGGGCGATTTCTAGAAGGAGAAATGTCTAATAAAAATTGCATCTCGACCTTTTATTTCGCTGAGAAATATCAATGTAACGAGCTTCTAACCAACAGCAGAAGGTTCGTCCACGAAAACTTTGCCTGTGTAGCAGAAATGGATGAATTTTTGAGCTTGGAAGCTAAAGAGGTGGAGCGGTGGATATCAAGTGACGAGATTGTTGTTAAAGCAGAGCTGGATGTTTTTAAGATCGTCCAAAAGTGGGTTGAACACAGCAAGAGCGAGCGAAAAGCAGCATTTGAGGAATTGTTTCGTCACGTTCGACTGGTTTTCTTATCGCGTGACTATTTGTTGAGTGTCGTGACGAATGAACTAGTGCGTGACAATGGAGTATGTCTGAAGCTGATCTCAGATGCCATACAGCTCACCACATTTTCAAATGAACACGATCTACCCCAGTCCCCGAGAAAGGGTCTTGAAACACGTGCTATTGTTGCTTGTGGAGGTAAATATACATTTTGTTACATTCCTGAGGAAGATGAGTGGAAACGTTTACCAGATGGGTTGTCAGAGAGGAACCAGGAAACCCTGTTAACCCAGGTGACAAGATTCCACGATCAGTTATATGTATTTCCTCGCTCGTGTCCAGCAGAGAGATATGACCCTGTTTACAACGGCTGGTCTACTTTGGATTTTTCATCAAATTCTGCTACAGTAGTTGTCATAAAAGGAGAAATGTATGCTCTTGAGATTGACACATTATGGGCAGAATCAACGATCAAAAGATACAATGTTGATATGTGCTCCTGGCAAACAGTTCTTACATCAAATCAGGCATGGAGAGGTGAATCTTGTGTTGTTGCTGCTGGTCATCACCTGTATTCATTTGGTGGCAAGCCTCCAGAGTCCTCTGAATATGTCACAAAAGCTGAGAGATTTGACACCATGGTAAATGAGTGGGAGGAAATTGCTGACATGCAGTGTGAAAGGGGTGGTGCTTTTGGAGTGGCCACTGAAGAAAAGATTTTTGTTGGAGGTGGGCACAGGTCAAACTAAGTGTGGAGAACATGTGAGATGTACATTGTGTCAACAAATGAGTGGCAGACCATTGCAAACTTAAATATATCCCGCAAATATGGTAGTATGATGTGTCTGAAGGGAAAAATTTATGTAGTAGGGGGCTTAACCATTTCAAGGAAAAATGAATTGACAGTTGAATGCTATGACCCCACTAAGGATAAATGGATTATAAAGGCAACCATACCCATGGAGAAAATCTGCAGAGGCAATAAACATACATTTACTGGCTGTGTACTGAAGTTCTCCAAAGGAGTACTGGACAAACTTGAAATTGTTGAAAACTGAAAACTGATCAAAATGTATGTGGTTGTCCTAGGTAAAAAGATTGATGAAAAGTACTGCCTGAAATAGAGCTCCCTCCAAATCCCAGATCAGATCTAAATATTAAAAAAGGGTGTTCAAAAACAAGTGCAAATCAAATCATTTTCCGTTTACTCTGAAAAATTACTCCTAATGCATGTAAGAAAATAGCCATATATTTCAAGGAAGACATCAAACATTTTTCCTACACACTGAACAGAGAAAAGTTAATTGAGAGGGCTTGAGCTTTGCCAGGCTATAGTTTCACAGTTATATTATACTCTATCAACTGAGCTACATAAAATTTGTTGGTGACTCAGTTCATTTATTAAGGTCATATGTGAAAAATGTCCTGTTTGTTGCTTGTATCAGGTAATATGGACAATGAAAGCTCTCTCCACAAACACTCCCATAAAAAAATGTGGTAGATGAAGCAAAAGCTAATACAACCTTTCAGATATGAGTGAATGTATCTTTTGTATTGAAATATTACACCATAGTTTAACCAATCTCAGCATATTTGAGCCCTATTGTCATAACAATTTTATCTACTTCAGAAATTTTGCTTGGGGTGGGGAGTAAGGGGGGTGAATTGACTGAGAATTCTTTAGGGAACTGGGCCATTTACTGGGTTCATGAGTGACAGGTATCCTGTATAATGATAGAATCACCAGAGTGTAAACTTTATTTTTATCTTCTTTGTGTTAGCATTTAAGAAGCTTTTAATTATAAAAGGTCTGTTAAACCCTTTAACTCCCATGAGTGACCAAGACAGAATTTCTCCTTACAATATCAATGAAATATCAACCAAGTAAGAGACAAGAATAAAGAAAAAGATCAATTTGGGGATAATTACTTGATCCACTTCTAAATTCTCTGAACTAACATTATAATAATTGTATGGTTGACAGTAAGGAGAATTGCAAATTTGATCTGGGACTTAAAGGGTTAAGCAAAAACCACATCTGATGAGATTCTCATCTTGGATTAAATACACTGCCTTTTATTCAATCAAGCAAAACCTAAAATTTGTATAAAGAAAACTCCTGACAATTAGGCTTGAGTGAAATCTGTGTCAGGACAACTCTCTAGTAATTAATAATTGCTAGATTAACAATCAACATTTTTTAAACTACAAGTTACCAGTTTTAGTGTTCAAATTTCTCTTTCAACTTGAATTCTAGAAGTTTTCAGATGTTTGGAGATTAGTGATGCCAATGCAAAAGTTTCCAAGTGACTAACCACTTAAGAAAACAAACAAACAAAAAAATAATAAAATCAAATCAAATAAATAGTTTTAGGACAGAAAAATATGCATAAATTTATCAAGGATGTTGTATCGCCAGAGAAGGAAACAGGCTGAGTATTGCTTTCTCGGCATTGCATACCATTCTGCAGAGTCAAAGGGTTGGCTTAAAAAAATTACTCTTAATGCATGTAAGATAAATGTATTTAATTTAATAAGGACATTAAACTTTTGTCCCAAGAACAGAACAGAGAAAAGTCAATTGTGAGGGCTTGACTCCAAGTGGTATTTTTCTTAGTTTCATTGTACTCCAATGACTGAGCTACATGAAAGTTGTTGGTGACCCAGGTCACTTACTCAATTCCTACACAATAAAGAAATATGTTTTGTTTACTGCTTGGATAAGATAATATGTACAGTGAAAGCTCTCTCCACAAGCACTCCCCTAAAAAATGTGTTATATAAAACAGAAGCTTTTACAGGGTTTCAATTTTACAATTGCATAGATATTTTATACTGAAATACTTTAGGTCCAAATAAACAGCTTCCCCATGTTATAACCAATCCCTTAGCATGTATGGGCCTTTGGGAGTGGTCATTACTTATTACCTGGGGGGGGGGGGGGGGGTTGAAGGATTTTGGTTGTGTCATGAGAAAATCTAACTGAACTTCCATAAGGCTCTGTTCAATATTTTTGATCCCCCCTCAATGGCAGTCAATTTTCTAGAGTCCCCATGGGTATACACTACTGACGAAAATTCATCCCCCCTCTACTCTCTTTGAAAACCATGTGGTCCCCTAGATCGCTGAGCTACATACATATTGTTGGTGAACCAGGCCACTTAAATTCGTGTCACCAAAGAAATGTCCTGGGTAAGGCTTGGATCAAATAATAGGTACAGAAGAAGCTCATCCCACAAACGCTCCCCTCAGACACATTGCTCTATACATACTCATGTTTATTACCAAATTAGTTTGCCTAATTCCCATACCTAAACCCTATATTAAATCCATTCACTCTTAAGAGCGACCAAGAAGTAATTTCTCTTTACATAATTCATAAATTAAGAAAAGACGGAGACGAAGTCCAGGCTCTCCTAAACAATTCGGGAAGGTCTGGAAAGGAGCTATTGGGCTTACTTCCGCATTCGAAGTTTCGCTTTGTTGTCAAATCTTCATAATTAAAGCCGTTCTTTTGAGTATGGAAGATCTGCTTCCTATCACTGAAACTGAACAAGCTTCATTCTGTGTTGAACTTACGAAGCGGCTCAACATGCAGAGGAAACAAGGGCATTTATGTGACTTAACTTTGGTGACGAAAGAAGGTAAAGAGTTGATGGCTCACAGTAACGTGCTTTCCGCCGTAAGTCCGTTCTTTCACAAGCTTCTTCAGAGCGATATGAAGGAAAGCCATGAAAGAATTGTTCGGCTTGAGGAGATTTCAGGATCCGTTATGGAGGATGTTTTGAATTTTACCTACACAGGAACTGTAGAGGTGACAGAGGAAAATGCCGAGGAACTCATCGTTGTAGCAAATTATCTACTAATATCAAGCTTGAAAGTTATTTCCGGTAGATTTCTAGGGCAGATAATGAACCACTCAAACTGTATTTCAACCTTTTACCTAGCTGAGAAATATCATTGCGACGAACTTTTCACCGAAAGTAAGAATTTCATCCAAGAAAATTTCGCTTCTGTGGCTTTCATGGATGAATTTCTAAGTTTGGAATCGAATGAAGTCGAAAGGTGGCTTTCAAACGATGAGATCACGGTGAAAGTGGAAGCTGATGTGTTTGAAATCATTGAAAAGTGGATTAAACGCAACAGAAGTGAGCGGATTGCAGATTTGGAGAAATTGTTTCGTCTCGTTCGGCTGGATTTCTTATCGCGTGACTACTTGATTGATGTCGTGACAAACGAACTTATACAAGAAAACCCCATTTGTTTGAAGATGGGTTTGGAAGCATTGAAGAAGACCACTTTCTCAGATGAAGGAGACCAACAGCAATCGCCGAGAAAAGGGGTCGAAACAAGTGCCATTGTAGCCTGTGGAGGAAAATATACTTTTTGTTATCTTCCTGAGAAGGACCAGTGGAAACGTCTAGCCGACAGCTCGTCGAACAAATACGGGAATCTTAAGGTGATAAGATTCCGCGGGCAATTGTATGCATTTCCGAGTGGCTATGGCAATGCAGAGAGTTTTAATCCAGTTTTAAACGGCTGGTCCACGTCAGACTTGTTTGCAATTTATGTTCCGGTGGTTGCCATTAGAGGAGAAATCTACGCAGTCGAGGTTAAGACTTCTCCGGAACAAACCATAGTGAAAAGATACAATGTGGAATCGTGTATTTGGGAGACGCGTCTCTCGTCTCTCGAAGGCTGTAGAACGGAAGCTTGTATCGTTGCAGCCGGCAGCCATCTCTATGTGCTCGGTGGAAGTCCTCCCTCATCGTCGCAAAACGTCGCGAAAGCTGAGAGATTTGACACGGTGGAAAACAAATGGGAGGAAATCGTTGACATGCGAGAGGAAAGAGGCAATGCTTTTGGAGTGGCCATACATGAGAAAATCTTTGTCGCTGGTGGATCGCATAGAGAGAAAAAGTCAGTGTTGCAAACTTGTGAGGTATATGATATCTCAACGAATGAATGGTATCTTACCGGAAGCTTGATTATTTCTCGTAAGGGCGGAAGTATGGTTTGTCTAAACAAAAAATTGTTCGTTTTGGGTGGAGAGAATGACCGTAACGAGGCCGAACGGATGATTGAATTTTTTGATCCTGAGGAGGGCAAATGGATCCAGAAGACAACCATACCAGTCGAAAGGATTGCTAGAGAGAATAGAGACACATTTACTGGCTGCGTACTGAAGCTTTCCAAGGGAGTGCTAGACAAACTTAAAGTTATCGAGCCGTATTAGTCTCTCTCTTGTGACGCGTAGTATTCTAAAGAGCTCAAGAGTGACTTAAACGGGAAAAGACAAGCAGAGGTTTTAGTTTCCTGTTAGGTTTCTTTCAGGACTACAGCGGGTGAAAAACATTTGCCATTTGCTATTTGCCCCAGCCTATAACTCTCTTTCAAAATATTGCATGACAGGGTATATTAACAACATCGCATAATTAAAGAAATTTTCAATGAAATGTTGAAAGAAATCCGGCATTGCCTTGGATTTACTTATTATTTGTTCTGTAATTGGTCTAGAAAACTCACAAATACTCTCAATCAATCAGAAGCAAAACTAAAAACAATTGTAACTTGGTTATTTGCTTCAAGCCTGGCTTCAAGCAGTCTGCTCATTTGTAATTTGAATCCTCATTGGCTTATGATGATGTAAACCTCTGTTTGGATTGCTTGCTGGGATCACTTAATTTTGGTTTTCCAACAAAAATCTGCTCTGAAAACTGCTCTAAGCTGTAAGGCTTAATTATTTTTTTAAAATTTATTTTGAATATTGATTGCTTACTTGGATAACATGCTACCAGCTGTGTATGACACAAGGGCATTGGGGCTTGTCAAAAACAGAAAAACTGCCCAAAATGGTAATCAAAATAAGATGCCAGAATAACAATTGTTCCAAACCAGAAAACCACCTTAAACCCTTTGCACTTTATTATTAGTATTCATATTCTTCATACTGTTCTCTTTACATTTCCTTTGGTAATGACTAGGAGAATTTGTTTTGCAATCAAGGGGTTCTTAAATTGGTGATTATTTCCTTTATTCTAATGACCTTTATATTTGATTCAAGAAATGTAGGGGCGAGCTGCACTTAGTGAAAATAAATACGACACAACAACTTGTATGCGTCTAGATTCCTTGTCTTCTTAAGCTTGTAAACAATGATTTACATTATGAGGATTTATCTGGTAATGATGTGAAGTTATTGCTTCTTACAGGATAGCTCAAAATCCTTAGCTATAAACTAAACTTGGCAAAAAATGGCAAAGAAAAACTACCAATGATGCCCAAGCAATGCACATGGCATGGGAAACTGCACCCTATTTTGTCAGTGGCACTTTAGACCACAAGTAAATTCAAAGAATTGTATAAGGAAGGTACAGTATGGAGAAATTGGAAGCCAGTCACTCTAAGGGATTAAAGGATTAAGAACTGTGTTGTACACTAAAATTTGGTAATGAGGAAAATATAAACAATCCATTAACAAAAAAACAACAAAATGCTGTTTTTATTTTTAAACACAATAATCTGAATTTAAAAATGGAAACAAAGAAAATCTTACAAAAAACTGTTTTCCCCTGTGTTTTATAACACGTAACCCTTTAACTCCCAGATCAAATTTGTAATTCTCCTTACTGTCAACCATACAATTTTTATAGTGCTAGTTTAGAGAATTTAGTATTGGATCAACTAATTATCCCCAAATTGATATTTTTCGTTATTCTCATCACTTGTCTGCTTGATATTGTATTGATATTGTAAGGAGAAATTCTGTCTTGGTCACTCATGGGATTTAAAGGGTTAAAAGTGAGAGTTGAATCATTTGAATACACTTCCATTATGCACTATCAAAATGGCAATCTACAAATTACTAGTAAGCTTAGAAAAAAGAAACAACATAATGAACAAGCTGCAATAATTTTGGCTTTCAAAATGAATCTTATTGTACACAAGTATGGATTAGTTTTAAGTATTACAATCAACTTTAGGAAAATTGAATACAATGAACCACACAACGCAATAGACTCAGCTGAATCTCTGTATATGGCAACACTTGTACCCAAGTCACAACTGTGTTAATGTATTAAAAAGGCAGTTGCAATGAAGGGTCTTGCATTTGGCCTGTACATGTATATTTTGATGTGTTGTTCTTGTTCTCTTCAGAGCTGGTAGAAGTTTTGGAAGACCTATGCCTGTATCTTTTTATGTAATACTTTTTTTTTGAAAATATGCTGATGGGATATTTTTCAAACTCATGCAGTCTTATTTCCCTCTGTTCCTCAAAAATTTCCCTACAGCCTTGAGACCATCATTTCTTGTCACAGCTTATTAATCTACTCATCCCTAGATTTCCCCAGCTTAGGGATATCTTTTCCATTTCCTGTTCAAAGAGATGAGGATACTCGAAGTTTTGTACATGGGGGACACCTCACCAGTCTAATGAAGTGTGTAGAGTGAATGCTTGTATTGTTACTGCTAACAGCCATCTGTATATGTTTGGTGGGATGAATCCACATTTAGATTATACTCTATCAGCTGAGCTACATAAAATTTGTTGGTGAACCAGTCCACTTACTTAAAGTTCCTGCATGAAAAATGTCCTGTTTACCAATTGTATCATGTAATTATGTGCAATGAAAGCTCTCTCCACAAACACTCCCCTAAAAAATGTGGCAGATAGTGCAAAAGCTAATACAGGCTGTCAAATATAAGTGAATGTGTAGTGTTGTCATTCAGACACAAAGGGACTCTCTCTTTCATTGCCAAAGGCTAACTGAACTTTATTAGCAAACACGTTACACGTTTAAAAGTAGAAGAGTTTACTGACTTATAGTAATTTTACAGCATGTAGGTATTTCCAATACAGTAGGATTACTGTGAGTGGTACATTTACTGAATTAAGTACAAAGTACACACCTTAGAACCCAATACTAAGCTTGTTGTCAATAATTACAAGACAGGTGCATGTGTAATTAATACACTACAGAATGCATCTTTTGTACTCAAACATTACACTATAGTATAACCAATCTCAGCATATTCGAGTCCTATTGTCATACCAATTTTGACTACTTCAGAAATTTTGCTTGGGGTGGGGAGGAGGGGGGTGAATTGACTGAGAATTCTTTAAGGAAGTGGGCCATCTACTGGGTTCACGAGTGACAGGTATCTTGTATAATGATAGAATCACCAGAGTGTAAAATTTATTTTTATCTCCTTCATGTCACCATAAGAAGCTTTAAATTCAAAAAGGCTTTTTTAAGCGAAAACCACATTGTCTTGGTCACTCATGAGAGTTAAAGGGTCGTTCTTCTTTATATTGCGAACAACAACAACACTCGAATAATAGCTCTTTGCTTAAAGGCACGTGTTTATATTACCATCAGGGGGAATTGCGAAACCCCCCTTTAAGACCTAAATGTCGCGCAATAACTCTAAAACTTAATCGTCACGCAATAACTAGGGAATGTTAGGGATCACCATATCATCAAATATGAAATAGCATAATAGGCTTCATAGACAACATCACACTATCAAACTGTTAGGCTTAGTTTACTTCCCTTAACATCGGTTTCATGCCTGAAAAAGACACCACCAACCTTCTATTACGCTAGTGTCAGATAAGAAATGTATCTTTCGAATACTTTCGGTATGAGCAACCTAAAATTATACCAATTTTTTTGTAGTGCATAGTCCTTGATTTCTACCAAGCTCCTTTGGAATTGATCAAACATCAAGAAATTTAGGCCAACGAAACAGTTTTCCTCTAATTTCGGGTTAACTACCACCTTAATTAAGCCCTATAACAATGGCAATCCAAAACTTACTAAAACACTGAGGAAATAGCAACCTCTAGATGAACCAGCCTTAACAATTTTCGGCTTCCTAAACGGATCTTATTGTACACAGGTATTGTTTAGTTACCGGATTGGTTTCTTTTTTAGAATAAAAAATTGTCACAGTTGAGAAAGGATATAGAAAATTTTGAATACACCGACACCAACAACGCAAAAATACTCAGTCGAATCTCTATTTATAGCTATGCTGGTACCCGAGTCACGACAGTGTGAACGTAAACGCCGAAAAGGATGTTTGCAAAGGGCCAGTACTTGTTCGGCAGAACTTCTCATCCTCTTCAGAGCCAGAGTTTTTGGCCAACATATTTTGCGATTTTCCCTTGTGCCCACCTCACTATCGAATATGGTTTATCCTATAAACCCTCGAGCAAGAGATTATAACCAGTTAATAATTTCTTGCCCTTAAGTAATTGATATACCCTTATCTTTTTACACATAACTTTTGTACAAATATGCCGTAAGGATAATGTTTCAAATTCATCTAGTCTCCTTACCTCTTTCCCTCAAAATTCTTGCCACTGGTAATTAAGAGATCATCATTTGCTTATCCAGCTCCTCTTCCCCAGAACTACCCGACTCCGGAACTGAGGAAACTAGGAGCCAGCTGTACTTCTGCTTTCGATATCTGATCGTGTGATCCCCATTATTAGCAAGATTTCCGCAGATTCTTTACAAGGAAATAAGGACATTCTGTAAATGATGGAAGATATACAGCCTATCTTAGCTGCTGAACAAGCGTCATTCTGTATGGAACTGATGAAGCGGCTCAACATTCAGCGAAAACAAGATTGTTTGTGCGACATTACTTTGGTGACGAACGACGACAGAGAGTTCAAAGCTCACAGAAATGTTCTTTCCGCCGCAAGTCCGTTCTTTTGCAAGCTTCTTCAGAGCGACATGAAAGAAAATCGAGAAGGGATTATTCGGCTTGAGGAGATTTCAGGATCCGTTATGGAAGATGTTTTGGAATTCATCTACACTGGAACTGTGGAGGTGACTCAAGAGAATGCCGAGGAACTGATCGCCGCAGGAAATTATTTGATCATACCAAGCTTGAAAACAGCTTCAGGGCGTTTTTTAGAAGGAGAAATGTCTGACAAAAATTGTATTTCAACGTTTTATTTCGCCGAGAAATACGATTGTGACGAACTTATCACCAACAGCAGACGTTTTATTCATAAAAACATCGTTTCCGTGGCAAAACTGGATGAATTTTTGCACTTGGAAGCTGAAAAGATCGCGAAGTGGATTTCGTCCGACGAAATTACAGTCAGTGAGGAAGCTGATGTTTTTAAAATCATATTAGACTGGGTAAACCACAGAAAGAGCGAGCGAAAAGCAGCATTTGAAGATTTGTTTCGTCACGTTCGACTAAGTTTTCTGTCGCGTGACTGTCTGGAGGATGTCGTGACAAACGAACTGGTGCGTGAGAATTTGGCTTGTGTGAAGCTGGTCTTGGATGCAATCGTACAGATGGCTACCTTTGTTGATGAAGACGATTTTCTACAGTCACCAAGAGGATGTCTTGATACACGTGTCATTGTTGCTCGTGGTGGCAAGCACACTTTTTGTTATATTCCTGAAGAAGACCTGTGGAAGCGCCTACCAGATGGTCTGAAGGACATTGACGCCAATTTAACTCAGATGATAAAATTTCGTGACCAGTTGTTTACATTCACCAATAATCAAAATTCAGAAAGATATGATCCTGTTTTTAACGTTTGGTCTGAGCTGAACTTGAGCACTAATTCTGCAAAGTTGGCCGTTCTTAAAGGAGAAATTTATGCTGTTGAATTTGACACCAAAAACAGGACAACTGCCACGAAGAGGTACAATGTAAAGCAGTATGAATGGGAGACACTTGACTCTTATCATAGAGAGTGTAGACAGGGTGCTTGTGTTATTGCAGCTGGAAGCCATTTGTATGCATTTGGTGGGAAGAATTTACGCTTTAGCAATAATGGCACAGCTGAGAGATTTGACACTGTGGAAAATGAGTGGGAGAGAATCGCAGATATGCTGGAAGAAAGAAGCGACGCTTTTGGTGTGGCCTCTCAAGAAAAAATCTTCGTTGCTGGAGGAAATGGCTTTAGAGGAAGATTAGAAACTTGTGAGATGTACAATACGTTAACAAACGAATGGCAACTTGTTGCAAACTTGAATTTCCCACGCCGTTATGGCAGTATCGTTTGTCTGGACGGAAAGCTGTACGTACTGGGTGGAGAAAGTCATTACATCCGAAGTGTTGAATGTTTTGACTCTGCAAACGACAAATGGATCCAGGAAACAACTATTCCAGTGAAAAACATCGACCCAGAAAATAACGACACATTCAGCGGCTGTGTTCTGAAGCTTTCTAAAGAATTACTAGACAAACTTATGATTGTTGAGCAGTAGTCTCTCCGACTCTTAACAGATTTAGAATTAGTCATGTTGTTCACAGCAGACAGCAGACACAGCCCTCCGTTTTATATTGCCTTAATTTAGAAGCTCACTTAAGGAAAGGCTGGGTTTAATCAAAGGTTCCCTCTCATTAGTTACTGTTTGCTTTAAACCCAATTCTTTAAACTCTCTCATTAAAGATAGCATGCTTAGTCATGTTTACAGCACAGGAATTGTAAGTCGTTAAGCACTTTTCATACTGAATGCTTCCCAAGTCCAAACCATAGCATTGCTTGAGTGGACATAGGAGTGTACCAGGATCTGAGAGAGTAGAGTTATACCATTTCATGAGTCAACTTTGAGCCCGAGTGAAGTTCGAGTCACAATTTTTGTTTGAAACTGAATACTGACTCGCCAGGTTTAATGTAGTTTCTCTCCACCTCATACAATTGAATTATAATTGTGGAGCCATGCTTGGGAGGCAATTGAGGAAGGTATCAAGGGCTCATGTGATAAAGATGTTTTTATCCAAAAAGCCACCCCAGTCAGAAGTTTTAAGAATGAACTTGGTGTGTTTCCCCTCCTCCCTCTGTAGCCTGGGCCAATCTATATCCCGAGCATTGCATGGATTTTTCAAGGGGGGTTCCCACTGTGACAAACAGAGGGTATTCACCAGATTGTCAAAGAAAAAGGTACCCCAGGACTCCCCTGGCTATGCCTTTGCAATTAGAAGAGGGGTCATCAAATTGGCTGTTTTATGAAAATGTTGGATGGAAAACTATATTTTCCACCTCCTAAACACCACCTTTAGAATTATTATGAAGTAAACTGAAGTTGATTAATGAGGAAATTAAAGAAGCAATTGACAAAAAAAAGAAAACACTGTTTTTATTCCTGAATGCAAAAATCCAAATATAAAAAAAGGAAATAATGGAAATCCTATTGGATACCTATACTGAAAAATGGCAAAAATATTATAAAACTTATCTCAAAAATGACTGAAAGTCAAATTGACAGTAACACTGACTTCGCAGAACAAAATAATATATTGAACTTCTCACAACAGAAACAGACATTAAAATGTTAGTCAAGATTTCATACGCTAGTAAGTAGGAATAAGATATCTATGGAAACAAGAAAAGAACTGGTCCAGAATTCAAATTGTATTGTGAGTAATAAGTTTTTATATTGAATTTTGTATATATTTCATTTAATTTGTAATATGTTATTGATTAAGGGGGCCACAAGTTTATTAGTTGTTTAATTATGAGGTGTTACCCTCTATAAATTATATTTTTGTACATATCTCACAATTTGTCAAAATAGCTAATTAGCAAATATCTTAAGATGGACACCCAGTCAGAATTTAGCATTTTTTGCTTGAAATGATGGTGGATTTTTTATCTTTAAATGTTGTTCTTTTGTTTGCTGCTCTGTTTTTATATAATTAAATTTTTGATGCGAAAGTGAAATTTTATTGAAATTCCTGGGAGGGAAGATAAATGTTCATAACTCAATATTTCTGCCAAATTTGATCTAGGTTCCTCCTGTCATCCTAGTAATTGTACGCTGTGCCCTTTTGCCCGTGTTTCTTGCCAATCAGGGACCAATAATTAATTATCACTGGGGCCAACAGAGGGATTTTGGAGATTAACCCTTTGATTCCCATGATCTGATTGTCAATTCTCCCCTCTTGCTGCAACACATTTCCTTGTAAATTAGTTACAAGGATATGTTGTTAAATAAAGACAGCGACTTCTACCTGATAAGTTTGAGTATTCTCATTACATTTTTGCTGGATAATGTTTGGATATTGTAGGGAGAAGTTACATGTTAATCATGTCTGGGAGTTCAAGGGTCAAATGATGTTGAAGGAGAACAGAGAGACAATCAGAAAATCGACTGCCAACTACCTGACAGTGAGAGGGAATCAGAACAGTATTATTTAAACTAATATTTTATCATGGTTTTATGGTTCATTTTCACTTGGTTCATTTCATGCACATTTGAAAAATTAAAATTCCTATATCAATTTATACATTATATTGCAAAAATATACTAAGAAGATATTTCCTCAAAATAATCCAAATATAATCTAACCTCCTCTGTTTCCGTCAAGATTCTGCCCACAGCATTTTCCTAGTCCCTTAAGGTTGTTGTTCTTCTACTCGTCCCCAGAGTCCCCCAGGCACCTCGGGAAAGAAAAATGGAGCGGCCATATGAGAAAGTGGGAACCAGTTGAACTTCCGCTTTCGATACCTTTCCTGAGTAATCCACATTATCAAAAGCGTTTGACCAGAATCTGCCCACAGAAATAAGGAAACTCTATAAAAGATGGAGGATTTATTGCCCATCTCAGCTGCTGAACAAACTGCTTTCTGTGTTGAACTGTTAAAGCGCCTCAACGTTCAGCGAAAACAAGATTTTTTGTGCGACATTACTTTGGTGACGAACGACGACAGAGAGTTAAAGGCTCACAGAAATGTGCTTTCCGCCGCAAGTCCATTTTTTTGCAAGCTTCTTCAGAGCGACATGAAAGAGAATCGAGAAGGGATTATTCGATTTGAGGAAATTTCAGGATCTGTTCTGGAAGATGTTCTGGAATTCATCTACACTGGGACTGTGGCGGTAACTCAGGAGAATGCCAAGGAACTGATCGTAGCAGGGAATTATTTGATCATACCAAGCTTGAAAACTGTTTCGGGGCGATTTCTGGAGGCAGAAATGTCCGACTCCAACTGCATTTCAACGTTTTACTTCGCTGAGAAATACGACTGTGTCGAGCTTATCGGCAACAGCAGGAAATTCATTCACGAAAATTTCGTCTGCGTAGGAGAAAAGGATGAGTTTTTCAGCTTGGAGGCTAAGGAGGTGACGAGGTGGATTTCAAGCAGCAAGATTGCTGTGGGAGCGGAAGTAGATGTTTTTAAGATCATAGTTCAGTGGGTTGAACACAACAAGAGCGAGCGAAAAGCCTACTTTGAGGAATTATTTGGTCACGTTCGCCTGGATTTCCTATCGCGTGATTGTCTGCAGGATGTCGTGACAAACGAACTTGTCCGTGACAGTGCTGTTTGTTTGAGGCTGACCGTGGACGCTATCGTAAAGATGGCTACTTTTTCGAATGAAGATGATCTACCGCAGTCACCAAGAAAAGGTATGGAAACGCGTGTTATTTTAGCATGTGGTGGCAAGTTCACTTTTTGTTTCATCCCTGAAAAAAACCAGTGGAAGCGGCTGCCAGATGGGTCAACCGAGAGAAACCAGAAAACACAAATGCTAACATTTCGTGATCAGCTGTACACATTTAAGGATTTCAGCAAGGCAGAGAAGTATGATCCCGTGTTCGATGGCTGGTCAAAGTCGGATCTGAGAGACGTATCAGCAGATAGCGCCATTGTGACTGTTGTCAAAGGGGATGTGTACGCCATTGAAGTTAACAAACCCGTTGGAAAGTCTACTATCAAGAGATACAATGTGGAGCGTTGTACATGGCAAACAGTGGTGGAATCTCCCCAAGGTTGTAGGAACGGTTCCTGTGTTATCGTAGGTGACAGCTATCTGTATCTTTTAGGTGGATCGACCCCTGGCAATGCTAGCTACGTCTCTAAAGCTGAGAGATTCAACATTGTGGAAACCCATTGGGAGGAAATCGCTGATATGCAACAAGGAAGAGGTGGTGCCTTTGGAGTGGCAAGTGAAGGAAAGATTTTTGTTGCTGGAGGCTTAAACGAAAAGAATAAGGTGTCAAAAAAATGCGAGATGTACAATGTTTCTACAAACGAATGGCACTTCATTGGAAGCTTAAACACTTGGCGTGTGTATGGCAGCATGGTGTGTCTGAGTGGAACATTCTATGTACTGGGTGGCACCAAGAATAATAGGGATAGAGTACTATCAGTTGAATGTTACGACTCTGGAGAAAACAAGTGGATTGAGAAGACATCCATACCAGTGGAAAGGTACTTAAATAAAAATGAGGACACATTCACCGGATGTGTGATGAAGCTCTCTAAAGGAGTACTTGAGAAATCTGACTCTATCAAGGAAAAGCCCATCGGCTTTGCATTTGGCGAGGCAGCCACCACGTCAACTCCCTTCGGCGCCTCCCAAACCTTCACCTCAACCGCCACCGGTGTCTTCGGCGTCCCCATTGTCCCCTCAAGCGCCGCGGCCTTCACCTTTGGCCGCGTTCAGTCAAACCAAGCTGCCGCGGCTCCTGTTCTTGTATATGAGTTGTCTGATGATGATGACTGACTGACTAAGTTAGCTTCTATACAATCCCCTTTAATTTACTTCAAGGAGACAGTTAAAAGTTTTTCTTGCGAGTGTTCAAAGTTAAGAAATGTTCAAACTGTTTCGTAGTCAGTGGACAAGGGACAAAACAACAAGACAACTTACACGTCATGGTCATGTGATATCCCGTGCGTGATTTCACTACAGTTATTCGACAGTAAAACATAATCTTGCATGTTTAAATACCATTTTTGAACTGTTACGGTTAAAAAAATATAGTCTTGTATAAGTAGCACACAGATTTACTAATAACAAGATTCTTCAATAAATGTAAAGGAGCATGCGCAAAGTTAAGATAGCCGCAACAAGTTCAATTTCATTGTTGCTCGTAGTTATAATTGTCTTCCTTTTTGTTCCATATCACCATGAAACTTCAGATTCCAATGAACTTTTATTCTTTTTATAGTTTGGAGACTCGGCAATGTCTTTTTCGATCTTTAAGTCCTCATTTAACGCAAGAGATTTCTTTAAAAAAACAATCAGATTTCTGTAAATCATTTATGTTGTATAGACAAGACACATTCATTTGAAGGACGACGCGTATTTTCGTTTTATAACGAGTAAATGCTAGAGACATGATAACTGTTTACGATTAATTAATAAGCCTTAGTTGATTGTTGTGTTATAAGACAGTAATTAGTGAGTAAGCTGTTCCACAATGAAAATAAAGTGCGTGACTTTCAAGGGTAGTGCGTGGTGCAGTTGTCGAAGCAGTCTCTTATTGTCACCCATATCCCCTTATGCGGACCCACCCTACCTTTGACAAAAAAAACATTTTCACAGTTTATCCTCTCTGACTTGCCATCATCTTGGTTTGATTTTAATTGCTTTGCGTGACATCCTGAGACCCAAAAGCGAAGGGGAATGGGTCTGCTAGTTTTTTTTCAACCAAAAATTTTATGCACAGGTTGCAGTGTAAGAACTCATTCGATCAAAACCACCCACGGATTAGATCATTCCTTCCTAAATTATAATGTTATTTTTTCGCGGGTAGTTGAATAAGGGAATAAACAAACTAACATTTGTCTATGAATAAGAAGAAAGGAATCCATGGTTCGTTGTCAGGCTAAACAAACCGCCGTCCAGACCAAACGGGAAAACAATCCAGCCGCATCGCTAAGCGCGGGAAAACTCAGGACGGAGAATCTCGTTGGTGGCTCCTGATTGGTTAGAGTGACCCGAATCTGTACTCTGATTCGCTAAAGGACACAGTATATGGTTTTTGATACCATTAAGAAAGATCGGAACAAACAAAACCAAATAGGCACGACATTACTTTCGAGACAGAACACGATTTATATATGAGGGTGAGAGGTTAGAGGTTATTTTCCAAGAGACTGGATCAGCAGTTTGTTGATGTCCTCCAGTTAATTGTTCAGAAACATTTTGCTTCAGAGACCGATCGTCGCTCTCCATGCTTTTTGTAGCAATAACTGAGTAAAGTCAAGGAAATGTCGCAGTAGAGGTCATTTAAGTCAAAAAGTCACCTATTTCTCAAATTTCGAGGTATCCCTAAGAGTAAAACATTTTAGTATTTAGGTTAAATATATGCACTTTACCAAAAACTTCCTTTCGGTTGGTTTCAGACTGACTTCCATCATATGGCCCCACACTTGAGCTTATCCATAGGTGTTAAAGTTTAAAGATTACAGTGTAAATTTTGTAGCACCTGACGAGTTCACCCTCTAAAATATTTTGTTTTCGTTTTATTTGGATAAAAAAGGATACACTCCTTCATGATGAATGATGTTGCCATTTTCTTCGTAAGTTTCCCAAAAAAACGTTCAAAGAGGAAGCTGATCTATTTAAAATCATATTAAACTGGGTCAACCAGGGAAAGAGCGAGTGAAAAGAAGGATTTGCCAAATTGTTTGATAACGTTCGAATAAGTTTTTAGTCGCGTGACTGTTTGGAGGATGTCGTGATAAACGAAATTGTTCGTGACAGCACTGTTTGTTAGAGGCTAATTGAAGATACTTTTGTAAAGATGGCTACTTTCGTCAATGAAGATGATCTACCGCAGTCACCTAGAAAGGGATATGATACACGTGTTATTGTTGCTCGTGGTGGCGGGAAGTACACCCTTAACTATCTCCCTGAGGAAGACCAAATGGAGGAGTTTAGCTGACGGTTTGAAATAAGTGGTCGATAACACAGTAATGGTAAAATGCGGCGATCAGTTGTTCTCTTTCACATATAATCAAGATACATAGATATTAGAGTTTTTTAATCGCTGGTTTGGAACAAACTTTCGCTTAGATTCTGGCAAGGTAGCTGTGGTAAATGGATACATTTATGTTATTGAATTTGGATAAGATTCGATGGAAACTACTGTGAAAAGATGCGATGCAAAGGCGTGCGCATAGGAGACACTTCACTTATTTAATGAGGTGTGTAGAGGAAAAGCTTGTAATGTTGCTGCTGGTAGCTATCTGTATATCCATTGCTAAGGCTGAGAGATTTGACACTGTACATTGGCATGTGGAAAATTTAAACAAATGGGAGGAAATCACAGACATGCTGGATGGAAGAAACGATGCTTTTGGAGAAGCTACTTAAGAGTAATCTATGTCGCCGGAGGATTACGCAATGGGGAAAAATTGAAAACTTGTGAGATGTATGATGCGACAGCGAATGAGTGACAACTTATTACAAGGCTAAATGTTCCACATTATCATGGTTGTATGGTTTGTTTGAATGGAAAGCTGTTCGTACTGTGTGGAAGGAATGAGAGAAACTAAAGTAAACTGAATGTTGAATGTTTTGACAGTACTAAGGACAGCTGGATCCTTACAGCAAAAATACCAGCAACAAATGATATAAACCCGTCGTTTGGCTGTATCCTTAGACTCACCAGAAAACCACCACCCCCTCCCCCCCACTCTCTCTCTCTCTCCCCCTCTCCCTCTCTCTCCCTCTCCCTCCCTCAAGATTCTTCCCACAGCCCTTTCCCTAGGTCTCCGTTGGGTTGTTTTGTCTGATCGTCCCCAAAGTCTTCCAGGAGACTCGGGAAAAGAAAATCGAGCGGGCGTAAGGGAAACTGGGAACCAGCTTTACTTCCGCTTTCGATTTCGCTTCGATTTTTTTCTTGAGTAAACAACAATATCGGAAAAGTTAGAGCAGAAACAGCCCTCAGAAACAAGGAAATTCTGTAAAATATGGAAGACATACAGCCTATCTCAGCCGCTGAACAGGGGCTTTTCTGTGTGGAACTGATGAAGCGTCTCAACATTCAGCGAAAACGAGATTATTTGTGCGACATTACTTTAGTGACGAACGACGACAGAGAGTTAAAAGCCCATAGAAATGTTCTTTCCGCCGTAAGTCCGTTCTTTTGCAAGCTTCTTGAGAACGACATGAAAGGGAATCGAGAAGGGATTATTCGGTTTGAAGAGATCTCGGGATGTGTTATGGAAGATGTTTTGGAATTCATCTACACTGGAACTGTGGAAGTGACTCAGGAGAATGCTAAGGAACTGATCGCCGCAGGAAACTATCTGATCATACCGAGCATGAAAACTGTTTCAAGGCGATTTCTGGAGGCCGAAATGACCGACTCCAACTGCATTTCAACGTTTTACCTCGCTGAGAAATACGACTGTGTCGAGCTTATCCGTGACAGCAGGGAATTCATCCATGAAAATTTTGCATCCGTAGGAGAAATGGATGAGTTTTTGAGCTTGGAAGCCAAGGAGGTGGCGGTGTGGATTTCAAGCGACGAGATTGCTGTGGAGGCGGAAGCCGACGTCTTCAAGATTATACTTAAATGGGTTGAACACAGCAAGAGCGTGCGAAAAGCAGCATTTGAGGAATTGTTTCGTCACGTTAGACTGAGTTTTCTGTCGCGTGACTGTTTGGAGGATGTCGTGACAAACGAACTGGTGCGTGAGAATTTCGCTTGTGTAAAGCTGGTCATGGATGCTACTGTAAAGATGGCTACTTTTGCGAGTGAAGAAGATCTCCCACGGTCACCAAGGAAAGGTCTGGAAACACGTGTTATTTTAGCATGTGGTGGCGAGTTCACTTTTTGTTATCTCCCTGAAGAAGACCAGTGGAAGCGGCTGCCAAATGGGTCAACCGAGAGAAACCAGAAAACACAAATGCTAACATTTCGTGATCAGCTGTACACATTTAAGGAATTCAGCAAGGCAGAGAAGTATGATTGCGTGTTTAATGGCTGGTCAAAGTCGGATCTGATAGACGTATCAGCAGATAGCGCCATTGTGACTGTTGTCAAAGGGGATATGTACTCCATTGAAGTTGACAAGCCCGTTGGGAAGTCTACTATCAAGAAATATGATGTGGAGCGTTGCACATGGCAAACAGTTGTGGAATCTTCCCAAGGTTGTAGGAACGGTTCCTGTGTTATCGCAGGTGGCAGCTACCTGTATGTTTTGGGTGGATCGGCCCCTGGCAATGCTGGCTATGTCTCTATAGCTGAGAGATTCAGCACAGGGGTAAACCAATGGGAGGAGATCGCGGACATGCAGCAAGGAAGATTTGGTGCCTTCGGCGAGGCTACTGAAGGAAAGATTTTTGTTGCTGGAGGCTTGAACCAGGATGGGAAAGTGTCAAAAAGATGTGAGATGTACAACGTATCCACAAACGAATGGCAGTACATCGGAAGCTTGAACCATTTTCGTGTTTATGGTAACATGGTGTGCCTGAGGGGAACACTGTACGTATTGGGTGGCACGAAAAACACCAAAGATAGTTTGTTGGCAGTCGAAAGCTACGAATTGACAAAAGACGAGTGGATTGAGAAGACAACCATACCAGTGGAAAGATTCTCTAAAGATAATAAGGACACATTCACTTCCTGTGCAGTTAAGCTCTCCAAAGGAGTAATGGACAAGGCTAACCTTGGCCTTTTCGGTACTTGGCAGTCCCAAACAGCAACTTGCACTGGGGGCCTTTTTGGAAGTACGCAGCCCCAAACAACATTTGGCACTGGGGGTCTT